CAGTCATGATCAGTCGCCTGGACGAAATCAAGTCGAGCAGATTTTGTCGCTACTTGCGGTGTTCCTCTGCGTCCTACCGGACTCAAAGGAGAGTGCTCAGATCAGTCTCAGATCCATGTACTGCTATCTGAGCAGCGTGCGTTGCGTTCACCCACCGTGTGCAGTGTCTGGACCCCGAAAGGGCTGCAGCATTTTTCCGAGTTGAGTTTATCATGCCAGGCAGCCCGCGTTGAGAGCACGCATGTGGTGTGCCACAGACACGCTCTCGTGCGTGCATCATTTGTGAGACACTTGCATCGAGCAGGCAGCAAAGATCCTCTGGTGGGTGCGAAAGGTGCCCTTGTGCAGAATGGGGAAGGGAGGGAGGGAGGGAGGGAGAGAGAGAGAGGGAGAGAAAGAGAGAGAGAGAGAGAGAGAGAGAGAGAGAGGAGAGATGGAGAGAGGAGAGAGAGAGAGAGAAGAGAGAGAGAGAGAGAGAGATAGAGAGAGAGAGAGAGAGAGAGAGAGAGAGAGAGAGAGAGAGAGAGAGAGAGCGAGCGAGGGAGGGAGGGAGGAGGGAGGGAGGGAGGGAGAGAGAGAGAGCCTGTCCCTACAGCTTTTGCAGCCGCTAGAATCATGTGGTTTTCCCAGGTCCGCCCTGTTGAGGGCCGGTGGCCCAAGGGCTTCTGCGACCCCTTCCTGTGCGGGCCTCATTCCAGCCTTGCCGCCCTCCTCCCTCGCTACCTCCCTGTGTGAAGGAGCAGCGAGTTTTGGAACGAGCTGGAGGAAGCATTGGCAGCACCTGCAGTGCAGCTGGAGCCGAGTCCTTTGGAGCCCTTGCAAACTTGCAAACCGCATTCTGGGATGCCCCAAAAGGTATATACTTCATGCCAAGGCCAAGGACACCACTGACCTCCTCTACTGGGTACGCAAGGTGCCCTTGTGCAGAGAGGGGAAGGGAGGGAGGGAGGGAGACAGAGAGAGAGAGAGAGAGAGAGAGAGAGAGAGAGAGAGAGAGAGAGAGAGAGAGAGAGAGAGAGAGAGAGAGAGAGAGAGAGAGAGAGATAGAGAGAGAGAGAGAGAGAGAGAGATATAGAGAGAGAGAGAGAGTGAGAGACGAAGAGAGAGAGGAGAGAGGAGACATAGAGAGACGAGAGAGAGAAGAGAGAGAGAGAATCGGAGAGAGAGAGAAGAGATAGAGAGAAGAGATAGAGAGAAGAGAGACAGAGAGAGAGAGAGAGAGAGAGAGAGAGAGAGAGAGAGAGAGAGAGAGAGAGAGAGAAGAGAGAGAGAGAGGAGAGAGAGAGAGAGAGAGAGAGAGAGAGAGAGAGAGAGAGAGAGAGAGAGAGGGAGGGAGGGAGGGAGGGAGAGAGAGAGAGAGAGCATGTCCCTACAGCTTTTATTCCCAGGTCCGCCCTCGGCGGGGCCGTTGGCCGATGAAGGGATTTTGCGACGTCTTCCTGTGCGGGCCTCATTCCAGCCTTGGTTGACGTAAGGCGTCTCGCGCAGGCAAAAGGCGTCTCATCAGGTCGTCGCACTGCAATTTTCTAGCATGGCGCAGTTATCTTCATGACACGTGGGCGTCCCGCCAGGGCGTCCCCTTGCAGTTCTGTGTTCTGGCACATTCCTTGATACAGTTATCTTTTGGGGTCTCGCGTAGGTGTCACAAGGCAGTTGTCCAGCATGTGTGGCGGATGTCTCACTGCGGCTGTAAAACCCGGACCCCTCCCGTAACCTACCATAGGCCCTACTACTGCATTAAAGTCGATTCTAGTTCTGACACGGAACCCCACACCCCTTACTTAAATTCAGCGCAAGGTTTGCGGGGTTCCGGTTCAATGGATGTTTTAATATCATAAACCGTTTGCGTCGCACTGTTTGGTCGGGAACGGACACACTCATCCCTTTGTGTTTCGCTATGTTGCGCAAGTAGTCTGGCAAGGCGTTACATCAGGGTGCATCGTTGTCCGAAATCTTTTGGAACAGGTGCCCTGCGCTAGCACTGGGTTTTTGTTTCCCAGGTGTTTTGACACGCACGAATCATGACCACCCATGTCTGCCCATGCCCAGCTGACTCTTGGCTCAGCTGGCCCTGACCTAACCCGAGTTGGGGCCGTGCATAGTTTGCGAGCATCTTTTCGCCCGCCCGCCCTTGCCCTGCTCACTCTTTGCCAAACTCTATGCACTCTCCACAATCGCCAACAGCTTTCCGCTTCCCAAAGTGGAGTAGCCCAACGCACAGCCGCACTGCTGCCTCCCAAAGAGGAGTAGCACCCGTGAAAAGGCCAGCGTGTGCAGGGTAGGACGTTGTTGCCCCTAGTCCCCCTCCCGTAGGGTCTTTGGGATCTAGAGGGCTCGCACTACCCGCTTTTCCCCCAACTAGGGTTAGGTCTTGCAGTGGGCGTTGTCTGAACGGTCTCGCGTGCTTTTTGCTTGTTTCTTGCTATGCTGCAAAAGTAGCCTGGCAGGCGTGTCTCCCTGGAGATTAGCTTTCTGTTGGTCGCCTTTTGCTTGCATGGGTTGCCTTTTGTATTTAGGGGCATCTACTTGGGGTGAGTCGCCTGTCGAAGGGCGGAGGAGTTCTGGAATCGCATCGAGTCGGCGCTTTGCCAGGATCTCAGAGCACCGAGCTTGACAGGCATGGCTTAGGCATTCCCAGGGCACTTTCTCAGAAGTGCTGAAGTCCCCAGTCCATCAAGTCATGGCTGGTCAAGAAATGCTTAAACCTTACTATTCGTACTTGGGTTTCTCCCCCCGCAGCTCTTAATATAGGATGTGTCCAGAGCTCCCGTTAAAACTATGAGCAGGCTCATTTTGGACCTTTCCTGGCTTTTATGACTTAGAAACTGTACCATGATGAGTGCCGAGGGCGGGTTCCTTGTCAAGAGAGTTCTTGTCACGTAGAAAGACCGAACAGCAGTGAGTCACGATGTCTGAGGCTGAGGCCTGAAGCTCAACACTGCCGCAAACCTCCAAACTCTCAATAAACCCAAACCCTAAACCCATGCCAGGGACTGTCGAGGTTAGGGGTCAGGGTCTAGAGTTTAAGGCTCACAGGGATTGACTCCAGATTTCTCGTCAAGAGTCAAGAAGAGATCCTTGAAGTAGAGCATGCTCGCGCCCTTGGCCATTTTCTTTGGAGATTCGTAGTTGACAGTTGACCTGCGCGAGATTTGGGCACGGACACGGGGCTACGTATCGACCGGTAGCCACGGACTGAGCTCATGCGGTGCAGGGCTGAAAAGGTTTATCGTGTTATAAGGTTTGTGCAAACATCGTACCTTCGGGGAAACACCCTTCGAAGGTTACAAATGCTGGCACCGCTTACTCCGCACCAGCAGAGTCCCTAAACACCCTAGATACCTTCGATTGGCTTCCAGGTACCCTAAGTCCACAACAATAGGGGTGACCGGGACCGTGGAGCGGTGGGTTGTGCGTCTTGCACATGCCTAGCGGGGGTTTATGGTTTTAACAAGATCTAAACCAATGGGAAGTCTAACACCGGACAAAAAACTTCGTCCCATCACCACTTTGACCAGGCCGGCGACTTGGAGGATGTGTTGTTTCCGGATGCATCGGCTGTCGACAGTGCCAAAAAGCTGAGCAACGCACCGTTCAGGGGGTTTGCGCGTCGCATTCCTGGGCAAGTGTGAACCTGGAGTTCTGAACCCCAGCCCCAAACCCAGACCCGGCTACAACCCTGAAGTTCGGGTTGTCTGGTTCGGGTTGTCTGTGCATGTGCTCAGTTTCGTTGCCATATTCAGATTCAGCCCAAAGCGACAAGTCCCCAAACAACAGGATTTGCAGTCGCCGAAGACGTTTGCGCGAAGCTACGCCTGAGCCAACAGAAGTGCAAAACGCTTTCACCGCCCATCGTTTCGTTTTGCTTGGTATTGGTTGCGCTTCGTGACAGTTCCAGCCACATACGGCAGTTTTTTGCTATGCATTTTCATGAAATCCCAATACTCTTGCCAAACATCAGAGCTAAAGTTTGGGAGCAGTGTCGCATCCGATGGCATGGCGCTTTGTGCGCTCGGGACGCGTGAGCCTCAGCAGCAGCATGTTGCCGTCCCTTGCATTGAGGGGTACTGTATTGGCTCTTTCCACAAATGCAATGTGAATTTGCGCACCGATCCCTGGACTCTGTTTGTTGCCGATGTCACCCTAGGCTCGGTCAATCGAGTCCTAGATATGGGGCTTTTGGGCACAAAGGGCTTTAGCGATCTCGTGCAGATTGCCTCGAGTTCACGTTGATGGGGGTTTGCGCATGGCAGTTACCTTTCTCTTCAGCAAATGCATATGAGATTCCCTCCTTGCTGTAAAGCTTCAGCCTTAAGCCGGTCCGTGTAGTTCCTCGGGCATCCAAGCCTAGACCATGTACCTGAAGTCCATCAAAGCTTTAGGGCTTAGGGATTTCTGAGCATGCTCGATCCGCGTCCGCAATCGGCAGGCGGGGCGACATGGCGCCCGTGCTCAACTCTTTGAGGTGCAGCGCTGCAATTACAAACCTGAAGCCTTGATGATGCAATGCACCCAGAACCCTAAACTCGAAGCCCAAAGCCCTAAGCCCTAAGCACTGAAAAGTCCTAAGCCCGCCCAAAAGGCCGAGCTTCCCCTGCCCCCCACCCGTCCTTTTTTGGAGATGTTTGCATTGTCACTTACAGGTTGAGGTGGGTTCCAGGTTTGCCTAAGCCCAAGATGCTACATGGCTACTTCTGGGTTTCCAGGTGGGCTGGGGCCTTTTGGTGCTGTCTTGGGACAAAGCTTTGTGAACACTCACCCCGCGAACCCTAAACCCTATGAAGGCTGCAGCCCTGCTTCATCGGAAGTGGGCTTTCTAATTTAGGGCTTGGGGCTTAGGGGCTAGGGGTTTGGGTTCAGTGTTTGAGATTTGTAGGTGTTACATGTGAAGCATGAACTTGTTACACTGCACAAACGAAGCTGATGAATCCTCAGCTGTGGGAGCCTCGAAGATTTTTCCTTCATCTTTCCCTCGAGGCCTTATCCCACAGAATCGGGCAATGGCAAGCTGGGAAGAGTTTATCTCTAGTGCGGAGCAGTCGCCCCCGCAGGCAGCTATTCGCGACAGGGTGGTAACTGTCTTTAAGGATGTGTTGCATGCTGCAACTCCTTGGGATGCTGAAGGGCTGACTGAGGATTCCTTGACAAATGCCATAACAGATTCTCCACCCGCTCTTGCACTGGCCCGGCGAACACTTCGGAATGTAGAAGCAGCTGCCAAAGCTCGACGAGTACAGGTGTCGCAAAGCATGGCTTTGACAGGTGCCGGAAGCGTGACAGCCAGTGCTAAGGCCTTGGCTGCAGCTATGGCGCCAATGAAGACGACGGACGCGCAGGACTTGTTATCCAAAGCACACCTGACAGGATTGCAATATCACTTGCAGCCTGACCAAGCCTTGTTCGACGTGTTGCAAGCTCACACGGATGAGGCACGAAAGAATGGAAAAACGCCCTTCCTTTTCGTGGACTTGACGGCAAAGGATACCCTTCCGCTGTGGGTGCCCGGCGACAACGTCGGGGGGAAATTTTCCTGGCGAGATGAGGAAGAGTTTAGTTTGGCCAGCACTTCCCCGATTGGGAGCTTAGGTGACCTCACCAGGGCGCTCAAAAGTGCTACCTCAACCCCACGCTTCTTCAGGTCGGTGCCGCAGTGGTCGGCAGCTTTCTGGCGATGGGCCGTGGCAGCAGTGTCTGCACAGCACATCACCATGCCACAGGTTCTGGCTCATCAAGATGTCGTGCTGCAACTCTGCGAGCAGGAGAGGCTTCGCTCACGTCCTCCTTACGCTGCTTTCTGTATGATGAAATGGCAAGGAAGCTCTGGGCTCGCAGAGCTGACAAGAAAGATCCTTCATTTGACCTGAACTCTGAGACTCAGAAGCTTGACAAGGACCTCAAAGAGATTGTCATGCAGAGGCTCAGCGTTGTCGTGCAGATCACAGAGGTTGAAGGCAGTGGACCTGCAAGTGCGTCTTCAAGGATGGACGAGAAGGTTACGCAACAGCTGGCCGCAGCGGAAGCTGCGCAAAAGAAAGCAGAGTTGGTTACCAAGAGTTTGGCAGCGGCTCAGAAGGGCATTCTGGAGAAAGCTGCTGCGTCTGCGACGGTGAACACCACAACTGCCAACACCGGGGGTCAGCCAGAGGAGCGGAAGTTGTCGGCCAAGGAGTTGAAGACACAGAAGTGGTTTCAGAAACAGAAGCAGAGAAAAGAACAGCAGCAGTACAGAAAGAGAGGAAACTGAGCAGGGGACACCGGCGCATGCTCTTGGCTGCCAGACACAGACATGCCTGCGGCCTTGCTGCGCTTGCCGCAAGTGACGCCTGATGGTCTCGCGTGTGCCGGTGACCCTCCAGCTTCGTTTTTGGAAGTCTTTGCTGGTGATTGCGTTCTCACGTTAGCCATGAGCCTGACTGACGTTGGCCCATACATGCCATGGGATCTGCGCTATGGACAGGAGTTCGATGTCACTGTGCATGGCAGTGCCATTTTGCAGTTGGCAGAGGCTGGTGCATTGTTTTGGGTGCATTTGGGAACGCCGTGTCAAAGCATGACTTGGGCAAGGTGCCCCCAACTTAGAACCACAGCTTGTCCACTTGGCCGTGGTGATTTAACAAAGCATCAAGCGCAGTTAGTTGCCAAAGGCAATGAGCTTGCCAAATTTTCCCTGAATTTGTGCTGTTGCCAAGCAAAACATGGGCGATTCTTCTCTATAGAAAACCCTGAGTATTCCTGGCTTTGGGTCCTCCCGCAAACAATTGAGCTGCGACACAGCGAAGGGGTAGCAGCTGTAAGGTTCCAGTTTTCCGAATACTTTGTGCCTTTCTGCAAGCCCACACTTGTCGTACACAACTCCCCTTTTCTGCACGTGCTAGCAGAAGGAGTCTTGCCGTGGCGAGGACCTAAGGTGAAACTCCGAGGGTTGGCTTTGTTTAAGGGGAAGCACCAATTTCGCACACACCTTGCCCAAACGTACCCACCGCTGTTGGGTCTTAAGTTTGCAGATGCAGTTAGCCAAACTTTGACGTGGGCAAGTCTTGGCGGCGATTTGAAAGAAATGTCGGACTCAATTCGGGTCAAGTCACATCACCTGCCATTGGCCTTGCAACAAGCTGAGTCGGAGGTAGTGGCGAACTGCTGCGTTCACTGGAAGTTAGTGCCAAGTGGCTTGGGAGCTGTTAAAGGGTTGAGCCCGCTGGAACACGTTGCTTTTGCACTGCAGGCATCGCATCCAGGTGAAACTCAAAAAGAGCTGCCGGCGATCGTGCAACAAGCGGTTACTTTTGAGTGCCGGCAAGATGCCGCAAGCGTTGATGCCTTCCGCCTGTCGCTTCTAGAGAAGTGCTTGCACATGCATGCCAAGATGGAGCTGGAGCACAAAGAGTGGACACGTTGCGCGCCCGTGGAACTGCACGCGCACGCGTCGGCAATTCACGGCCCGTTGTGGAAAGTGTTGCTGCAACAATGTGAGCTGCCGCATGCGCAATTTCTTCACGACTTGCAGTTCGGTTTCCCTCTGGTGGGCGAACTGCCGCCGTGTGAGGGTGACTCTGTGGACCAAAAGTTTGAAGCTGACCTCACTGTCCGAGAGCTTGAGTCCTCTCGTCAAGTGATCAACCGCAAAGTGTTGGGAGCAGTTTCTGAGCTGCCGTTTTCTGCTGACATCTTGCCGCAAACAGTTGAAGACGCAAAGCTGGGTTTCATGTCCTTCCCCAGAGCCTTGGTTCCAGAAGATGTCTCACATCTGTCTCTGACTAGAAGAATTCCTGTCAGAGAGGAACGCTCGAAGGGTTGGCGTACCAGGATCGTCGACCATGAAACCGAAAGCATGATTAATGCCGCCACCGTGCCTTGTGACAAAATTCGTCATAACACGTTGGATGATCTTGCCAGCATGACGTTGGCCTACTTTCAGCAAGATTGCAAGGTTCTGCTGTGGAAGAGAGACATCTCCAAAGCTTTCAGACGAGTTCCCATAAGGGTTGCTCATTTAGTCTTTGCGTGGACGGTGTGGCTGCATGATAGCTGTTTGATGGTTGCTCAGCACAAAGGCATGCCGTTTGGCACTGTGTCCGCGGTATACGCGTGGCACCGTGTCGGCTTTATGCTCTGCAGCATCCTGCAGGCCCTGTTCTTGTGCCCTGCTGCTCGCTATGTGGATGACTTCTTCGGGGCATCTCGGTTGGGGGTTCGATGGCACGCTGGTCGAATTTTGACCGTCGTCTCCAAGTTGTTGGGTTTTCCAGTCGATGATGACAAGTCTGCTGAGAACGATATTTTATTGATTGTTCTGGGTGCGGAGTGTAGGATAGATTGGCCCCGGCGTCAATTGAGCACCCGCGTGGACCCAGTGAAGGCAGTCAAATATCGTGATCAGTTGCTTCGCGTCATCTTGTCTGGAAAGCTGACCCCTGGTGATGCCTCAAAGTTGGCAGGCCGTTTGTCCTTCTCTGTCACAGTCTCGGGCAACAGGGTTGGCAGGGCTTTCATCAAACCGTTTCATGCCCAAGCGCACAAGCCACTGTACGGCAATGCTACATCACCTCTGTTGCGCCAAGCTTGCGAATGGTTTCTCAAGTACCTTGAGTGTTGCCCTACTTCAGTGCGGGTACTCACCCCTCTGATGCGTCCCTCGGCCACTTCGTGGACGGACGCATCAGGTGAGTCGCGTTGGGTGGCGGCAGTGCTGTACTTTCAAGGAACTTTCTACTGGACGCGCGCGCGCACGCCAGATCAAGTCTGGCGGCTGTTGCAGCCCAGAGGTGATCATCAAATCGGATTTCAAGAGTTTCTTGCAGTTCTTTTAGCTTGGGCCACATTCAAGAAGCTTTTGCAAGCTAGTTTGTGGCTAAATTTTGTTGACAATGACTCAGTCCTGCACGCGATATCCCACGGCAGCGGGGGTAACGATGAAACCTCCTTGTGCATTGGACGGCTGTGGCTTGAAATTGCGGCCGCTGGAGTCGACCTCCATGTGGGACGCGTTGAAAGCGCTGCGAACATCGCGGACGGTCCCACGCGAGACAGGCTTCAGTTGTTGGCATGTTTGAAGGCCACGTTTGTTCCTCCAGAGCTTCCGTCGTGGGTGCACACTCTGTGGGAGATTCCAAGCTTTGAGCAGTGATAACAGTTGTTACGCCTTTTGCTCTAGCATGTGCAGCAGAGTCCATGTTACACAGGCAATATATGTAGTTGGCTTTTTTTTTTTTTTGATATTATACGATTCAGTCTTTGATGCTCACTTTCCCTTTGCAGCCGCTTGCTCAATGGGCAGGCTGGAGCTCCCCTCATATGGTCTCGGTTGATCCATGTCTTCTCTGGACGAGAGCCTCCGAAACCACGTTTGGTTGGCTCAGAGATGGGTCCAGGAAACTATACAAGTTTGGACGTGCAATTTTGCTGACAGGCTGAGCGCGCAATTAAGGGCAGCTGAACGTCTGACAGTGAATGTCCATGTTTTACATCGATCGGGTGCTGGCGTGGTTTTGCACTCCGAAGAGGTGTGGCGGATGTTGCCAGCTGATTGGCGCGCAAGACGAGCTGCGCTATTGAAGCAGTGGCGTACACACAGTAGCTCGGATAGATCAGGGACCAAAAGCGCACCGGCCAAGCCATTTGGGGGACGAGCGCCTTCGGACTTTCTGATGAAAGTGCATCAGCTGCGTGATTCGCTGCAGTTAATGGAAGCATCCGCAGTCTGTGAACTGTGGCATCTTGAGGCTGCCTTGGTCCTTGTGTCCAAAGGCTTCGAACAACTACAACAACTGGATGGCTTGTATCGTAAAGACTTGAAGTCCTGGTCGGACAATGCGAGGGTCCAGACGTTACTGTTCAAGGCTCTTGATGCAGTCACGAATGCTGAGACTGTCAAAAGGGCAAGAATTTCGAGTGGGCAACCCAAATTGGAAGCGCAGCACATTTCGGCAGATGCAGTGGCATGTCAGGCCAATGAGTTCTGGGCAGAGGCTGATGGCTTGAATGTTTCTCCCGGGGGTCCTCGGGATCGCGTTGCGGCTCTGGCAAAAATACAAGCTCACGAGGCGCAGCGTATGCTGGAGATCAAAGCAGCGAGCTTGAAGGCGTCTACTCAGAAGAGGAGCCTAGCCTCGGTGGCTTCGGGCCTGCGTTGCTGGCATCAATTTGCTGTGACCGTTTTGCAGTATCGCCCCGAGGAGACCCTCCCGCCGAAGTGTGCCAGAGACATAGTTTATTTTGTTGCCATCTTTCAAAACCCAGGCACGGCCCGGAACTATGTTTCGTATGTTCGTTGGGCGTGCGTGTTCCACAGACTGGATTGCGCGTGGTTTGACCCAGAAGTGCAGATGGTTTTGCGAGGCTTGGACAAGCGCTACATTGAAAGTTTGCCTGGGCAACTGTCAGACAAGCCTTTGCTCACCGAAGATATGGTGGCAAGGCTGGTCACTCTCTGCAGTGAAAGACCTGGTTTTGAGGACTTGGGTGATCTGTTCTTGGTGGCTTGGCAGTTTTTGCTCAGGGTGCCAAGTGAGGGCATTCCCCTCCAGTACGGGGATCGCAGTGAGCTGCACATCCTTCCGGATGGCCGGCACTCCGCGCTAACTGTGGATGGGCAGTTCTGTGCGCATTTGCGCCTCCGACGCAGGAAGCATCGGCCACAGGGGTCACTCTTGTCCAGGCCGTGCTGTTGCAATGGAGAGCGTAGCGTATTGTGCGTAGGCCATCGCTTGGGAGAGAGATCAAAAGCATGCAGCTCAGGAGATTCAGTGGTGACTCGCTCAAGACATGACTGCTTGAAACTGTTCCATAACTCCCTCAACTTGTTGGGTGTCTTGGGCCCGGAAAGATACACATGGAAGGCCTTTCGAGCAGGGAAAGCCACCTCCCTTGTTAAGCAAGGGTTCCCACTTCCGCATGTTCTTTCAGCTGGAGAATGGAAGAGCCAAGCGGTGCTCAACTACGTCTCTGAAGATCACATAGAAAATGCCGCTTTTCTTCGCTTGATAGAGTCCGATGATGAGGCCTGACACTGTAGCAACGTTGGGATGAGTACAGCATCGTTGGGGTCCTGTTGACATATCCTCGTTTGCTTCAGCTGGTTGCCTGCAAGCGGTCGACAGTCTGAGACTGTTCCAATTATACTGCACTGCAGAAGGCCAGGAGGACCATTTGCAGGATTCCGAGGTATGGCTGTGAATACCCAACGAAGCTCACAGCGCTGGCCAAAAAGGTCGGTGTCAGTGAAGATGTTGCTCGTGTCAGGTGGGAAGGGTGATGGGAGGCATGCCTTTTTGGATGTGAGGGATTCGTGTGCGGGGTTTGTGTAGGTGTTACATGTGAAGCATGAACTTGTTACACTGCACAAACGAAGCTGATGAATCCTCAGCTGTGGGAGCCTCGAAGATTTTTCCTTCCCTCCCCTATGCACCCACCCGGAAAAATTTCGCGAACGAATCGGCAATGCCAGCAACAGTTTGGGGTCCTGTTGACATATCCTCGTTTGCTTCAGCTGGTTGCCTGCAAGCGGTCGACAGTCTGAGACTGTTCCAATTATACTGCACTGCAGAAGGCCAGGAGGACCATTTGCAGGATTCCGAGGTATGGCTGTGAATACCCAACGAAGCTCACAGCGCTGGCCAAAAAGGTCGGTGTCAGTGAAGATGTTGCTCGTGTCAGGTGGGAAGGGTGATGGGAGGCATGCCTTTTTGGATGTGAGGGATTCGTGTGCGGGGTTTGTGAGGTTTAGGGTAAGGGTTTGGGGCTTCGGCTTTAAGATCTCGGGTTCAGAATTCATGGCTCAGAGCTTGGAGATTCTCGGGTTTCAAGCTTTTGGCTGCTGGGAACTTGAAGCTTTAGGCCTTCGCCGGGGGGAGGCTCAGAATCCAGGATGCTGCCAAGTGCAACCGTGAGTGATTCAAGTTCTTTGGGGTTTAGGGGTTAGGGTTTAGGGTTTAGGGTTTAGGTTTTGAATCCGTGTAAGATTTCAGCGGCACTTGAGGTTTAGGAAGGTTATTGGATGCGTATACGTATACAATATAAAAGTATAGTGACTCTTAAACCCCAAGCTGTGCTTGGCCCAAGCGCACAAGCGCAGCTGCTTAAAACTGCCTACTTGCCGCGTGCGAGTGTGAGAGTCACCAAATCCCCAGTCTAAACCGCTCAAAGATCTCACAGCACTGGCAAGGCCTGTGAAGACAGGCCGCGGGAGCCTTGCGCCTCAGCACTGTGCAGAGGGCCTTCGCTTGAAAAGATGTCGAGTGTTTGCCCTTTTGGGTTCGTCGGGTCCAGGTCCCAGAGTTTGATGCCTTGGCTGGATTGAGTAGCGCTGTGGCCGTGCGGTCCGTTGTCGTCGTCAGCGTGTCGTCCATGATGGTGTAGAACCGGCTGAAGACCTTACCTATGCTGTACGACATTGTTGTATTCATTTTTATTTCGTGCTGGCTTGCTTTGTATAGAGCATCAGCCCATGAAGAGGGTTTGCATGAAAAAGCCACTGTGTTTGCAAAGCGGCTTCTCACCAACATTTTCTGAAGACCAACACTTGCCTTGTATGTAGTTGAGCCTTCCACGTTCATTCTAATGCATCTTGCATCCTACGCGCCTCTAGGGTTGAGGGTTGAGGGTTTTCGATAATGTGTGCAAGTGGATGTCTTACAGGATTTTTAGGTGCAGTGGCACAGCGGCAAACGTGTGCAGATGACTCATTCTTCAATACGTGGCCGTTTGATCCATACCCCTCCAGCAAAGTTTGATCTTGAAAGCTTACCTTTTTGCGGGTGGTGTTTTGGAACAACAAGTTTGGTGCATGCATAGGAGTGCTATGTTTGCTTGCATGGTGCTTCGCTTTGTGACACAGCTCAAGCCCGGAGGGCTACCCGATAAGCCGCATTGTATGGAGCTGACACCATGTAAGGTTTGTGTTTTCCCCAGCCTTGACCCAACGTCATAAGCTTGTTCACGACCGCGCAGCCAACATAAGCCAAACCAAGAGGGGTTCTATCTCACAGAGTTCACGGCAATGGTTGCCCATGGAACATCCCGGTTCCGAAGACAGGCCGTGTCCGCGAGTCGGGAGTCGAGCGCAGAAGGGAGCATAGTTCAGTGCCGAGGTGCAGTGATTGTTATTTCAGGCATGTCTGCAAAGATACACCGCCGCTGCAATTGTCGAACAGTAGATCCGATGCACCCACCGTGGAAGATCCATGCCCAGTTTGCTGATGCATGTGATTCCAGTCTTCATGAACCCTTCAGCGCCTGCGAGTGAGGCTGAAATCTCGCAAGGTAGCCTTTCTGTCACGGAGCCTCATGTATGCAAGCAGGCGAAACGCTGACGTGCCGGTGCGGGCTCTACTGATCGGCCTGGAGGACATTCTGCGTCCCCACGGACCACAGGGGGAGGAGAGAGAAACCCTCAACCTAAACCACAAACCCTGAACCCCAAGCCCTAATGAACCACAGGGGGGAAGGGTAAACCCGTAACCTTAACTGCTTTAACAGGTGAGACTTCTTGCAGATCATGCGTGTAAAAATGTACAATGTCTCTAATCAACATGCGTATACTGGTGTATGAGCCGTATACGCTCAGCGGCCACCTCGGACCCGTGTAAAGAAGCACTGAGGCTAAGGGCCTTTCGATCGCGGCTGTCGGGCGGGTCAACTGCAGCTTTTCAGGTCTAGGAGTGCTGCGCACCGCTTCTGTCGTCTCGGCATCCGCACGCCCCCTGTACAGCGACGACCAAAAGAGTCAGTCGAGATTACTTGGTGACGCCTGGGGCCATGCGTGATGCGTTGCACGGCTTAACCTTCTCAGCCGCCGCGAGTAGGAGAAATGGCGGGTCTGACTCTGAGCCAGAAACTCCAAGGCAAGAAGATCTCAGCAGCTGTAGGGAGAACACTCAAAACCCTAAAGAACCCTCAAGCGCACCTTGCCGGACGAAGTATGGTCAGTCTCTAGAGTGGTGTGGATTTTCGAGGTCCTGGGTCAAGACCTGGGCGTACGGGCCCATCGGAGGTTTAGGATGCAGAGCAGTTGCAGCGAGAACCCCTATAAAGAACAGTCGGGCATCCCCGCGAGCCCTACTAGCCCTAGCGCCAGACCACACCACACTCTGCAGCCTGCTTCTCAAGCTCCATCCTCGTCTTGTGGACCGCTGTTCGTAGCAGCGGCCGTTCCTTCGCCGGCAGTTGGGGGGATACTCCTTTCGCGCAGTTTGTGTGAGAACCCAAGAAGCTTCAACTCTGAACCATTCTGAGCCCTAAATCCCAAGCTCGATACCATATGCGCCGTACGCATCCGCACACCCTCATCTACATCTTTGTTTCAGGCCATGCTCGGCAAGCAGAGCAAGGCAGCATCCCCTTGGTGCAAGATCGACCTCACGGAGGAGGATGTGCAGCACACAATCTCGCTAAATTTGGGGTTTAGGGGGTCTGGCTCTGGAGCCCTGGGCAGCCTCGGGAACTCTGGCATACGCTGGCTGGCGATGTGGGTATTGCATGTGCTAGGCCTGGAGGAAAGGTGTCGACTGAGGGTCCAGCGTTTAGGGAAACTTGGTACCCTTTTCCCTTTTTTCGTGCAAGGTTCCCTTATAAAGTATCCAACCCCGAAACAGTTGAAGCTGCCATCTAATCAGACATGTCGCAGAGGAGCAGAAGCAGTGTGGTGCGAGCAGGACTGCCTGCAGTTGATTTGGAGGTTTGGGGTTTAGGGTTTAGGGCATTGCGCGGGTTTGGCCTCGTGGTTGGGACAGGTTGGAGACCTGAGTGAGGTGCCGAGGGTTCGCGTTCTGAGCAAGGACACCGCCACGCCCACAAGGGTCATAAGCTCCTCCGATGCTGAAGCCTTGCACTTCGCAGCCCTGAAGATCGAGATTCAAGCCCAACTACACTCCTGAATTAGGGTGGGGGTTTAGAGTTTAGGGTTTAGGATTTAGGGTTTAGGGGTTTAGGGGTTTAGGGGTTGTAAGGCCGAGCGCTCCTGAATCGCTGCCGGCAAGCAGGGGGCCCCAGAAGGGTTTAGGGTTTAGGGTTTAGGGTTCACAAGTAGTTAACGAGCCTCGGCGAGGGTTGCTAGATTTTCAGTCAACCATTCGCCCCGCCTCCTCCATTACGGAACCCGAACCCCCACTCTGTGGTTTAGTGTTGGGTTTGTTTTTGGTTTTTTAGGCTTACTAATCCAGACTTCCTACTTCTGAAAGGCTGGGGAAGCTCAAAAAGCCTGAGAAGCCTTGGGAAAGTAACGACAAGGTAAACAAGGTAAAAGAGTTAACTCAGCGCGAAACTACACAGACCAGATCACATGGTATTTTGGGAGGGGGCCCTCAGTTTTAAAAAGACATACGTTGCGTGGGAAATGTTTGGAGCCATTCCATCAGGTGGCAAATCGTCGCACCTTGTTTTGGAAACCGCGCGAAGCCGAAACACATGCCAGGATTTCAACATTCCCTGATATCAAGCGGGCAGTTGTTAGATTTGGGTCAACCATTCTCGTCGCCCAGTCTCCTGGCCTGTGTGTCTCATCCCCCCAGAGCATCCCACAAAGTCTCCCACCGATTGTCCTGGGAGTGTGGCCCAGCAGGCAACCGTGAAGAATCCCGCGGCGAAGTATCCTTGATAACCTCTCCGCAAGGGTAGGATGGCTACCACATCAGCTAGTTTTTTGGGGTGGGACTCTGTTAACAGATCAATTGTTCTTGCCGGCCTAGCAGCCTCCAAGAACACAAAGGCATGATAAGGCATGTGAGGTTCTATGGCCATGAATGATTCCAATGTCTTCAGGATCCCAAAGAAGTGAAACGCACCAGAAATCGCAAGCCCCAAACCCCAAACCCCAAACCCCAAACCCCAAACCCCAAACCCCCAACCCCCAACCCCCAACCCCCAACCCCCAACCCCAACCCCAAACCCCAAACCCCAAACCCCAAACCCCACCCGCTAAAGCTCCGGAAGCATTATTCACGTCAGCTTGAGAATCAGTACGAAGAACTTGGAGGAACTTGTTTGTTCTCTTATCTGCAGGGCTGGGTTC